ACGATATTAATAGCCCTTACGCTTTACTTAAAGATCTTAATACCCCATGTGGGGCTAATAACACTCCACTATGACGGATTTCGGTAAATCAATTGCAAGACCGATGTCTGTAGCAATTTTACTGCGGTTTTCACATAATTTGATAGGAAAATCTTAGGCCACCACAGGCTTTTATAGCATTGAAATCCGTTTTTAATTTCGACATTTATATAAAGCACAGTGGAAAAGAATTCTTTTTGATGTCAAGAGCACGAAAACACTTTTTCTGAAAATGTTTATCTACAGCGATAGACAACAAAATCTTAATGGTAAATAAATAACGTGTATCTTAAACAAAAAAAAAGTCGCATGATGAAGTGAATTATTTAACCGAAAAAATCAGAATATAAGTGTATGATTGTACCTTACGAAAAAAAACTATATATATATGAATAAATTTCATTGTAAAAACACTTATTGTAAAAAATAAAGATTTATCAGTTTCACATTTGAATAAAAACAACTAGCAACAACAGGATCAGAAAAGCCTTAGTGATTTGTCGTACTGCAATAAAGAACCTCAGAATGAGAAAATTGCTAGCTTTTATTAGCCTGGTATGCTATTTATTCTACTCCTGTGATTGCGCACTACCAGATTCACAACTAATTGAACAAACACTAAAAAACTCATTGTTCAGTACTTATGATAAAACTATAAGACCAGATGATCAAGTATCTGTTGATATCACTGCTACACTACAACAAATTGTGGCTATAGATGAAAAACAACAAATAATGACATCTAGTTCATTTATTTCACAAACATGGTACGATTATCGATTAACATGGGCGAATAATGCTTCAAATAATAATATTAGTGTACTTATGCTACCGGTTAAAAATTTATGGATACCAGATACGATGATATTGAATTCAGCAGATACGAGTGGTTATTTCACAGTGAATGATTACAGTTTGGCATCTGTTGACTATAGAGGTCAAGTGTATATGATATTACCAGCATTATCGGTAAGAACAAGATGTAACTTTTTGGTTCAAAAGTTTCCATTTGATAAACAACTATGCAGCATCAATTTAACGTCATGGAGTCAAGGAGCCAATAGAATTCTATATACCGAAAATCGTAGTTTAGTAATTGATCTTAGTGAGTATAGTGAACATCCTTTATGGAAATTGAATGGAACAGATATGATTGTAACTGAAGCAGCAGATAGGGCACCATTTGAAGATACTTATAATGATATAATATCAATACAATTATATCTGCAGAGAAAGCCAATGTATTTTATGTTGAATGGTATATTTGCCTGTTTGATTTTAAATGCTGTTACTTTGATAGCATTTGCATTGCCCTTTGCAACACAAATTAGTCTATGTAAGAATATTTTCTTTTCTTGAATACTAGATGGAACTTATAAAATAAATATTGTATTTGCATTTTAGCTATGATATGTTTTATGACATATTCTGTTTATTCGCTAAGTTTCTCCAGTCTATTTCCACAACAGTCTGACTATTTAATGACGATCACATTATACTTTTTGTTATCAATTTGTTGGACATTAATAGCAATGCTATGGTTTGTTATTTGTAATTATTTTATAACAAAAGTTAGAATGCCACGGTTACTTTATGCTTTTTGTGAACTGTTGCAAAGAGTGTCTACTCCGCGACCAAAAAAAGATGACAAGACAGATAAGAAGGATGTTATTGTTGAAAATGGTGAGATTAAGAAGTCTGTGGATGAAGAAAGTACAAAAGCAACAAGGGCTCAAAGAATGAAATGTGTTTGTTGTCAGAAATTATTTGTTTCGTGCCTTCAGAGGCATCATAGAGTTGAAAGCATTGACAAGAAACAGCATGTTTTGGATGACGATATGAAACCCATCAGAACAAATCCAACTGACGTTAAGCCAATTGAAACAGAACAAAATGAAACAAATGTAAGACAATGTTTCGAAGACGCGAAGCGAATGGTTAACGTACTGATTGAAGAACAGAAACCGAAACCAAAATGCGACTTCTGCAACAGATGCGGGTCATGCCAAGCTACCACTGATACAGCAAATGCTTTAGCCAACAAAAAACTAGACATTGAAGCTAAATGCAGCGTCTTAAATTATTTTGTCTTTTTTTGTCTGTTATTATTCATGTTTGTTGCTGAAATGGCTGTATGGTTCGTAATGGCACAATGAGTGGCTTTAATTTGTTTCTTTCTTCTTCTCTTTGACAATAATTTTATTACAATTATTATTAACATGACAACACGATAATTGCACATCTTTTAAGACACAATAAAATATGGTTTCATTGCTTTTCATAAATTAGTTTCAGCTTGTTTAGTCAAGATCTGACAGTAAGATATTTTTTACGGTCTTTTCGCAGATAAGTTTTAATTACCGTGCGGTTTAGCTGCTGGTCTGCTGCATGGCACAGTGGGCATTTTTCTATAGAGCAGGCGGACATATGCTGTAGGAGTGATATGAAAGCCTATAAAGACGTTCTTCTATTGGTTTTCGAATATGCTCTTTCTAATGATGAGCTTTTCAGTACTCAAAAGTAATTCCTTGTGGGTTTTCTCGAGATCGGATCTCTGGAAAACCCATAAAAAATGTGTTTATAGACTTGTGTATTATTGCTAAAATAAATATCCAAATTCCTAAGGAAAATTTGCTGTAGACAGGCTTTGAAGTCTATAACTCAATTTGATCGAAAATATTTTTGCAGAAAAACTATAAAGCTATACATCATTCGATGCAGTTTTTCACGATGATTCCGAATATGGCATTATTTGTACGAAAAAGTGCTTTAGTGAGAGAGAAAAATGTGAAATACGCGAAAACCCCTTAGGATTTTGGAAGATCTATAAAACCTACTTGGAAAATATGCGAGATTTTGCGATGTTAGAATACATAAATAATGCGAATCGCATCGATTCACTAGGTCTGTTGCCTGTAAGCCCACTGAGTGTACTCTCGGAATTATTATTCATTCTGTTGTAACTCGATCTTGCTACTACAGAATTGATGCATATTTCTCGCGATGAGAACGTCCATATTTTCCATCTTAGTTTACAGAACCACTTGCTTTAGCTTTTCACCGGTGAGAAACATTTATCAGAATTGCTATAGTTCATCGAGACTCTGTAATTTGATTTAGTTTTATCTGTCGTACAGATGTTCGAAATGGACGTAATATTACCAAATCTATCAGTCTTCTTACCCTTGATAAAGAAACCTAAGTGGGGGCAAAGTTTGGCCTTCTTCGTCAAAACAACGCTTACACCTCCCTTCGGT